AAAAGCTGAGAGAGGATGATAAAGCCAAGGTAATAAATGTTACCATTTGGTAACTTCTTGAAGGATATATGGGAGTTCTTTGTACTGTTTTTGCAAAAAATGCCATTGAAATATTCTGAAAAATGAGCATAATTATACTGAACTCAAAATATTCGTATTAAGGATTAAATGAGATCATTTGTTTAAAGCTGCAGATAATCCTCAAAAAATGTTAACTACCAGATGTCTCTGCAATAACACAATATATCTTTTCCAGAAATATCTGATGACACCAATAGGGCTTATTGGAAAAATGGGTTAGATGCAGACCACTCAAAGGCATTCTTATCTGCAACCAGCGCAGTGATAAAAATCATGAAAACCCTCAATCTCAACACCTTACACCGCCATTGCAACCCACCCTTTGCAGCCTTTTACTCTCAGCTCAGGATTTTTCCTCAGGGAGATAGATTAAGGGGGGGTCTTTATTTTTAAAAACCAGTTTCATCAAAATAAAATAAAAAATTACCTGGGGTATAGAATTCCTAATCAACCACTTTTTTAGTTTTTAAATCACAAAAGTAAATATTTTTGGAAATTTTCCATATCCGCTTTTAGTTTCACCAAATAGTTAAATATATGGGAAGCACAGCCATTAAACGAGCCTTCAAAGAATATCTCAGAATTTAAGGTCCCTCCCTTAGTTCTTCACCTGTTGATAATGATGCTCTTTGAGAGAAAGTTTGTCCCTGCTTTCTTCAAAATATTCATGTACGAGGGGAAATCACAGACTGACTAAACCTGACTTCCTCTTTAAAATAACACAAATCCCCCTGGCCAGTGTAGCTCAGTGGTTGGAACGTCAGCTCGAGCACCGAAAAGTTCGATTCCTGGTCAAGGCGGGTGCAGGAGGTAACCAGTCGATGTGTCTCTTTCACATCCATGTTTCTCTCTCTCTCTCTTTCCCCCCTCCCTCCTACTCTCTAAAAATCAATGGAGGGAACAGATTAATCAAAGAACTTATATGCATATATGCATAATCCATGGACATAGACAATAGCGGGGAGAAGGCCTGGGTGGGGCAAGGATGAGGGATGGAGGGGCTTAATGGGGGGAAGAAGGGGGGAACATCTGTAATACTTTCAACAATAAGGATAATTTAAAAATAAAGAAAGAAAGTAAATTTAAAAGAAAATAATAATAAGTAAAGTCACCCAAATTAAAGTTCTACAAAAAATAAAAGTTAAAAAAAAATCAATGGAAATAATATCCGTAGGTCAGGATTAACAAAATAAATAAGTAATTAACATAAATCTCCTAACAGATGAGTACTTTTCTTTTACAGAAACATGTATCATAGGAACAGACCGCAGTATTGCCTAAGTAGGAAGACTAAGAAGGAATGAATTTTGTAAAGAGCATATTGTTAAGCATGGGCAATTTGAACCAAGAATAGCATTATTTAAAAAAAAAAAATGAAAGAAAGAAATAGAGCAGACTGTACTGAGCATCTTAGAAAACTGAATACAATAACCGAGGGCCTTCTTCCTGGAATGGATCGGTCTTTCGTAGAAGGATGAATAGGTACCTTCTTGAGTTTGTTTTCGGCCCTCTAAGTAGATTCACTGTAATCTCAAGTCAAATCCAGACCTATTAATACAATCATAGGAATTACACGTGGGGGACAAGTACTCTTTGAAATTATTTTTATAAAGCAAGAGCGCCTTATATATTTATTTAAGAAAAGTTCAAATATGCAAACGCTGAAATATTAAAATAAAGGGTAAAAAAATAATCCCAGCTCACTTATCTCTGAAATGTCTAGAAGTGATACATGCATAAAGAATTAAACAACAAAAAAATCTTTTTAATCAACACAAGGCAATGTTCAAAAGAGAATTTTGACCACATGTTCATTTTTAAAATTTATGTACCAAGGCATCAACTGAATGAGGAATACATGCTAAGTAAGTTGGAAGCACATTATGATAGTACTAACTAGAGGGGGGAAAGCCTAATATCCTGAGAATTACAGTTTTTCACTTGAGAATTTTAGTCATATATTTTTTATTGTGGCAAATATATATCATAAAATTTACCATTTTAATGATTTTTAAGTGTACAGTTCAGTGGTATTAAGTACTAAACAGTAACTTCCCTCCCCTCCCCCCCTCCTTCTCCCTCTCCCTTCCACTCTCTGAAAAGCAATGGGAAAATTATCCTCCAGTGAGGATTGAAAAACAGAGGGCTCAGATAAGCCTAATTAAAGCTTGGTCAAGGAGCTAGTCTTTTATAGTCACATGGTAATTAAACGTTTAATTTTTTGAAAAACTGCCATACTGTTTTCCTCATTTCATATTCCCATCGGTAATGCAAAAGGTTTCCAAATTCTCCACAGCACTGACATACCTGTTATTTCCAGGATTTTTGTTTCATTTTGTTTTGGTTTTATAATAGCCATTCTAATAGGTGTGAAGTGATAGCTCACTATGGTATGATTTGCCTTTCTCTGCTGATCAGTGATGTTGAGCATCTTTTATGTGCTTTTTGGACATTTGTATATCTCTGAAAATACCTATTCAAGCTCTTTGTCCATGTTTTTTCTTAGGAGTTCTTCATATCTTCTGGACATTAATCCCTTGTCAGATACATAATGCGCAACATTTTCTCCCATTTTGTGGTTGCCTCACCACTATCTATTGATAGTGACCTTTGATACACAAAAGTTTTTAATTTTTATGGTCACATATATGGTAAAAAGATTTTTCTACTGTCAATACCATTTGATTATTTGATCATCCATTCTATTGGTTTATGTGTCTGACTTTTGATTACTATAATTTTGTAGTAAGTTTTGAAATAAAAAAGTGTAAGACCTGCAGCTTTGTTCTTTTTCAAGATGGTTTTGATTACTCAGGGCCCCTTGAGATTCCATATGGATTTTTGGATGCATCCTTTCTTTTTCTGCAAAAAAACACAAACCATTGGAATTTTGATTTATAAACATGAATCAAAACATGAATGTCTTTCCATTTACTTGTGTTTTATTTCATTTCTTTCAGCAATGTTTTCTAGTTTTCAGTGTACAAGCCTTTTACTTCCTTAGGTTTTTTCCTAAGCATTTTATTCTTTCTGATGATATTGTTTTAATGAAATTGTTTTCTTAATTTCCTTTACTGATTGTTCATTTTTAATGTTTAGAAACCAATTGATTTTTGTGTGATTTTGTATTCTGCACCTTTGCTGAATGCATTGATTAGATCTAACTTTTTTTGACAGAATTGTTTAGGTTTTCTAAGTATAAGATTATGTTGTCTGTGACTTTACTCCTTTCTAATTTTTGTGCTTTTGATTTCTTTTTCTTGCCTAATTGCTCTGTCTAGAACTTAAAGTGCTATGTTGAATACAAATGTCTTATTTCTGATTTTAGAGGAAAAGCTTTCAGTTTTCCACCATTGAGTGCAATGTTAGCTATGGGTTTTTCACATATGGATTTCATTATGTTGAGGTAGTGCTTTACTATTTCTAGTTTGTTGACTATTTTTATCATAAAAAGTGTTCAATTTTGTCAAATGTTTCTTATGTTTCGATTGAGATAATCTTGTGGTTTTAATCTCTTCATTCTGTTAATGTGGTATACACTGATGGTTTCAAAACTCTTTAGAGCAACCCAAGTCTCATTGAATTTTTAGAGTTTAGATATTTAGAAATCCAAGATATTTTGTGAATATGACATTGTAGCTCAGGGCCTGAAGGTTTATCCTTGAGGAAATACATTAGGTTTAGCATGCACTTTGGAGGCTTGCTTTCTTCCCAATGTGAGAACATACTGACTTAGCAATGGTCGTTCTTGGACATTCTTATTAAAAGCTGACCTTTATACCTCAAATATATATGGGACCAGACTCCAAAGTGCAAAAAAAAGTTAGTTATGTAATCAGTTGCAGATATCTTGACAGGAAGATATTCCTAAACCATATGTCATTTTCCTAGTAACAGGTAGAAAAACTAACCTTTAGGTAGGTAAGAATATATTCTCAAACCAAAACTATGAATATCATACTCAGAAGTTGACTGTTTTAGTGTGGAAATACATATCTGATGGTGAAGTCTCCTGAGGAATCTACCAAATCCACCTGAGAAAGGGAACCTAAGTTTCCTAGATTTTTAAGTTCATATCTCCTCCTCCCATTCCTTGCCTAGAGTGTGGTGCGTTTTCCTGAAACTAGCAGCAAAGCAATGCCTCTGTACCATCGTCTTTTTCCTTCCTGCTTATTGCCTCCTTATTACCTATCTTTTGACCTTACCTCTGCTTCTCACCAGTAATTTAAAAATGATTAGTCTTCCATTTTCCCCATCTATCCCCCCCCCCCTTTTTGTTAATTTTGTCACTTGAGGATATTTTTTTCTATTGATTTTTAGAGAGAAGCTGGGGGAGAGAGAGATGGATGTGAGAGAGACACATAGATTGGTTGCTTCCTGCATTCACCCCTGACTGGGCTGGGATGGAACCTGCAACCCAGGTATGTGCCCTGACCCTTCGGTCTGTGGGCCTATGCTCTAACCACTGAGCAAACTGGCCAGGGCTCCCTTGTTTTTTGAGCTGAATAACAAATCATCAGTTATGTCTAGTACTTGCACTTTTACAAAATTTAATTTCTCTTCTGCGTTCACCAAAAGGCCCTGCTTTTATCCAAGATCAATTTCCATCTTAACCTCTTCTTCAGAACCCCTTGTTCCTGTCCCCTCTCCACTCACGGTGGAATCCATCTGCCTGGATCAAATCCTGGCTCCCTCCTTCCCTCCCTCCCTCTCTCCCTCCACCTCTCAAAAGCCCCTAATCCAGTTCCAAACTCCTCCCCCCATGGGTCCAAGGTCCTCTTATTACGTTCTCTCTGGAATGTTCTCTCCCAGTCTTTCCCAAGGCCTGCTGCTGCTGCCACCGGGACCAGACTGTTCTATTTCTTAGGATACTAGCAGCTTTCCCTAAAATTTTCTCTGTTATTAGATCCTTCTGCCAGATTTTTCACATTGATCTGCAAAATCTCTGGGCACAGGTAAGCCTTCCATGCTTCATTGTTATTTGGCTGAATGGATTTGTTGATCTCAGAACAGGTTGTTTTTCCTCAAAAAAAATGCCCTCAACTAGGAATGTCCCTTAGTCATATTGAGGAGCTTTTTAAAATGCATCCACCTCTAGAGATTGTAATTTAATTGGTATGTCTGGGATGCGGACATTGCAATGATTTAACACCTTTGGGGGATGGGTGTCTAATGCACATGTCTAGGTTTGAGGATCAGTACAAACCTCCCCAACCTACTACTCTCTACTTACTTGGCTCCTCTCTAGAGTTCCCGTTGAATCTTCGTCAATGCAGCAGCCCACCCCATAGGGAACCTTTTACTCTCTGTCCTCAGCCTTAATTCACCCCCAAAACAATAGGAACAGAATGTGCCTTCAGGGTTTTCCAAGAAAGTTGCTGGGAAAGTTGGCAATGCATCTGGGCCTGGTAAGCTGCCAGAGAGATTTTAATAAAAGAAGCTAGAAGAGCCCAGGCTGAAAAAGAGTCCAGGGTGATCACAGTTACTTACATTTGTTGATGAATTGCAAACTGCCTGGAAACTCTGGCAACATAATATTGTTGGGCAGTCAACCCTGTACTCACCTTAGTGCTTCTGCCCTGTTTTCTGTGCTAGCTTTGATTACTGAGACTGCAGCTGGCCTTTGAAGTCTTCCAGTCTGAAGTGGTCATTTTACAGACGAGGAAAGTGAGGCCAAGGGAGATGTAATTTAACAGAAGTCCCACAGCTAAACTGGGGAGGAAGGAGGCAAGAAACCCAGCCATCTTTATGAGAGTCCAAAGTTCTTCCAGACTCACCCACTTCTCACCTATTTATTAGTCTGCTTTGGAAATGCCACTGATATTTATCAATGTGAAAAGTGGCAGTTTGGTGAATGCCCAAGAGAAATTAAGTTTTATGAAAAAGCAAGTGCTAGAGGTAATTGATGATTCATTCTTCAGCTCAAAAAACAAGGGAAATAAATAGAGAAAACATCTATCTCTCTAAGCTTCTCCATAACTCTCACAGAAGGATGAGTTTTGAAAGGCAGTACAGATTTAATGCTTAGTTTTGGGTCTGACACATGGTAAGTGTGCAATACATGGTCACAGTTAGTTTTAATGGAAGATGTTTCACAGTTTCACACAAAATCATCACTCTGCCAAACAGAAACACAACGAAGGCCCCACTGTTTCCTTTCTGAACAGAGAGAAAATGAAATTTTGCAAATTGCAGTTGTTGCATTGATTAGGGACTCAGTTTTTCTTTTTAGTTTAAACGTGTATTCAGGTTATTTTTCTCCATAAAAGAAGTTGATCTCTCATTTTTAACTCCAAAGTTCAATTGTTAGTAATCAGTGCCAATCAAGTTGGTGTAATTAGCTACATTTTATATGTGAACTTGGAAAAGTGAAGCAATCTGATGACAAGTGACAAGGGCTTGCTTGCATATTCATTTAAAACATCCAGAAGAAATCAGGTGAGAATCGGACACTTACACCAGCCAATAAGTGTATTGCCTACCAATGGTACTTGTCCAGCAAATAATTTGAGAAATGTGAACAGTTTAGTTATGTATGCTTTGAAGGGAAAATTTTTTATTCCCTCTATAGTTAATACAAAATGCAATGGCTAACAAATATAGACTGTGTGAGCTTGAAACTTTTTTTTTTTTTTTGGTTAGGACCCTCTTTGATGCAAGTAATAGAAACAAATTATAGCTAGTTTAAACAGGAAAGAATTCAAACCAAGGACAAGATATCATGAAGGTACTAGAAGTTGTGAATGCAAGGTTGTGATACCTCCCTCATTCTGTTATTTCTTTTCCTTTCTACTCTTTTTTTTTTTTCCAAGCCTACTTTTACAGTTTCTCACATCTTCCTGGTGGGTTAAAGGTTCCCAGATTGTATCTTCAGACTTAGCTTTTGTAGATATAGCTGCCCCAAGAGAGGATGATCTTTCACAGTCCCAATTCCACATTCCTAAAGAAGGTTCATTTGGGGTCAGTGGCTCATCCATGGATCAATCACCCGTGGCAACGTGGGCAAGTTCCAGAGCAGAAGGACAGCTTCAACAGGTCACCCTTACAAGCAAGCTAGGGAGGCCAAGGACAGGCTAGGCAGACGACCAATTAGATATCGACTAAATGGCTGTAACTGACTAAGTACTTTTAAATAATTATTTAACTTGATCCTCAAATCATGACAGACAACTCTGTACTCAACTCTCTATAACATTTTACACTTTGTCATATCTTTGTTTATCCAGTTTTCTAATAAGTTTATGAATTTTTGTATTTTTAGTGCCTGACATGGGGGGGTAAGGTAGAAGAACATTTGCTGAAAGAATGCACGACTAATCCTGTCAGGTAGGATAGTGTGATAAGAAAACTTGGACAAACTTAGATTAAGTGACAGGATGGAGATCCTCAGCTAACAATGAGTATGGAATCAGCTTCTATAGCCTCAACCCCTTTCCCCACTATCAGAGTCCTTTCTACATCCAATTGTCCTCTTCTCCTGTCTATCATGTCAATGACTGACATGAAAAGATTTGGTCTGGTGTTTAAAATTGTAAAAATAATAGACTTGGAATAAAGGCACAATGCACTTTCTAAGAATTTGATTCTGTCTTCTTGGTACATTGGTTAAGAATAGCTTTCAAATAACTACCAAGAGTCGGTACTTTTCATTTAAATGTTTAAAGGGAGAAAGACTCTTAGTCTATGCTTAAAATGGCAAAAATAAGGTTTATATATTTCTGTTTTAGGTGCTTTATTTTTGAAAATGATATTTGACAAGTCAATCACTCCTGAAGAGGTAACCACTTCTCTCATAATTTTGGTGATGTGTTTTTTTTGTGTGAGGCTGCTTGGGAGTAAGGGGAGAAAGCAGCCATCACTTCCTGGTCCATGGTCCCTCCCCATCATAGGAAATCTTCTTCAACTTGGAGACCATCCTTACCTTACATTCACAGAGATGAGGAAGAAATATGGAGATGTTTTTCTCATCAAGCTCGGCGTGGTGCCTGTCCTAGTGGTGAATGGAATGGAAATGGTGAAGCAAGTACTGCTCAAGGATGGAGAGCATTTTGCAGGCAGACCTCAGATACATACGTTTTCTTTCCTGGCAGACGGAAAGAGTCTTACATTTTCAGTCAATTATGGAGAGAGTTGGAAGCTTCATAAGAAAATAGCCTCTAATGCTTTACGAACTTTTTCTAAAGCAGAAGCAAAATCCTCTACCTGCTCTTGCTTACTCGAAGAACACATCACTGAGGAAGTTTCTGAACTGGTAAAAGTCTTTGCAGAGTTGACTTCCAAGAATGGTAGCTTTGATCCTAGAAGTTCCATCACATGTGCAGTGGCCAACATTGTCTGTGCCCTTTGCTTTGGCAAGAGATATGACCACAGTGATGAGGAGTTTCTTAGGATAGTTCAAACTAATGATGACATACTCAAGGCTTCCAGTGTAGCTAATCCTGCGGATTTCATACCATGTTTTCGCTACCTTCCACTGCGAATTATAAATGGTCCTCGAGTGTTTTACAAGGCCCTGAATCAGTTTATTGCACTACATGTACAAGATCATCTTACTACATATGATAAGGTAAGAATTTAAATTCATGCCAGGACAAGGAATTTGTCCTAAGGCAAAAGAAGCAAAAGATAATGATGAGATATGTTGATTACCCAGAAAAATTGTATGTATTCTTCTTTGGTTCTTTTCACTAAAATTTTGCCATACTGACCCCTACCCAATCTATTAGGAAAAGTGAGTTCCAGTCATTCAGTTCTCATGTGCGAACTTTAAGAAGAGTTTTGAATTTTTTGAGACCTCAGAGATTTACCCAGTGTGTGGATAAGGTACATACTTGAATTATGAAACTGTAACTGGCTGATAAATAATGACCATGTATGTTTTTTCAGTGAGTTGAAGAAATGAACCAATGATTTTGTCTCTTCCATTTTCCATCTGAAGCTACAAGGTCTTAAAAGTATCAGCATATTTTTAAAGAGTGTTTCAAATAATTACAAAGAATATTGTATAGGAAGCTTCCAATTTACCCACTTTTTCTACTTGAGTCCCTTTACTATATAGAAATGAACTTTGAGATCGCAACACATGTAGGAAGTTTCTTGAGGTGACAGAAGTGGACCTTGTTGTGAGGTCACCCAAATCTTCTTGGCCCAATTTGATGGCCCACAGAAGAACCAATTTCTCTCATGAATTATGTATGTACTAGAAGGAATCCTAGATCTTTGAGGCCGATTTGCTCAGATGATGGCATAGTGAAAAAAATAGAAATGAAAAAGTGGAAAATTGAGCAAATGAAGAGCTGTAAGGAGTTAAGTTCCTTCCACTGAAAAAAAAGAGGAAGTGAACAATCCATTTCAAGGTACCAATGAGAATTTTAGAACAAAAACAGTAAGTAAAAGAATTTGTAAAGTCATACATTTCCTTCCTACTCCCTAACCTACCTAAGCCTCATCTCTTTCTGCATGGTGATTACAGTAAAATTCTTACAGTGGGTTTGGAAACCTCTTAGTATATTCATTGTGCAGCAATTTCCCTGTAGTAAGTTAATCTAATTTTTTAAACCACGCTTCCAGACATAGGTACTTTTTTTTTGGTTGAAAGAAATCTTAAGAAGAAAATTGAGTTTGGTAACTTTTTTTTTAATTCTACATACTTTTAAAATCGAACATTACCATTGACAAGCAAAATTGGTTGCAAGTTTTGAAATGATCTACTCAAGCCTTTATATTCCTAAGCAAACTGAGTTCATTTTATATTACATGGTGCATGGGATTCCTGTGTGATGTGAAATGTAGGCAGGGGTCAGTAATCATACTAAGGTTTGTCTCCTCAGGACCATATGCGAGACATCACTGATGCTCTGATTAACACATGCCACAACAAACATGCCACTGCCAAAACTGCCACCTTGAATGACGATGAAATCATAAGCACCGTGAGTGACATCTTTGGAGCTGGTATGTGAGAGTATTTGTCAACATGTAAGGCAAATAAGGATTAATTACATTTTTTTGTGTTCTATTGTTTACGGTTTCAAGTATTTCCCTCTTTTGATATGGATCGTTTCATGTAGTTATCTCACTCTGCATAAATAATCTGACATTCTGCCTCGTCCTGTGTCATTTGGGAAACTTTATTTTCATCTCAGGAGTAGAGAATTGAGTTAATGATGGTCTCCAGTTCATGTGCATTAACATCATTGTTCATGGATACCTGGCCTTGTTTGTTTCTTTATTACTCTTTATCCTACATCCCACTCCCAACCCATTGACGTTTATTCTTAATCTGCTTAAAGTGTTGCTTTTTAATTTTATGTGCTCTTATGAAATAGGCTTTATATTGTCATGTATTACCATGTATTCTTATATTATCATGATCTTTAACTTATGAAAACACCCTTGTTATTTACATCTCAGTCTATTTCTAACATTTTTGGTGAGGCCTCCTTGTATTTTTAAGATTCAATCATGGTTGCTGGGTGTGTTTCTAATTTGCAGCTTTAGTCAGTTGCATCATACTCCATGGATGTATCTCCCACATATTACCCATCTGCTGCCTCTGGGGTGGACACCTGTACTGTTTACAGCTCCCAACCTGCACAAATAATGCTGATGTTGAAAACCTCGCTAATGCTAAGATTATCGTTTTGTCCATTGGTTTTGCCTCCTTTTAAATTAGAGCCTTATGCTGAGACACAGAGTTTCTGGATCACCCAATAAAAAGATTCTTGAGTTTTCATGCAGATCATCAGAATCTTAGAAAGACGATCAGTACTACTATCATTCCTAAATTTCATATTTTGTCACCCTTTTTGCCTATGAAGTTTCTTATAGTTCCTGTAAGATACTGGGCTGCAGGAAGAAAATTTCCTTAGTATAGCAGCAACACCAAAAAACTAAAGATGTTTTAGCAGTTTCATTTTAGGTGGAATATTCTTCAAATTCATTTTTTCCTTTTTTTTCTTTTATACCATATTTATTGGCAATTTGGTTCACTTTTTTTCTGGAATCTGTGTTCCTGAAATTTCTTGCAAACAAGAGGCATTTGTTTTTATTTGTATTGTTTTTTCTATGCAAATAGCCCTGCTCCCCTTACACACACACACACACACACACACACACACACACACACACACACTTACTATTTTGATCATGATTTAAATTTGATGGGTGCACTGGTTACTTATCATGCAAATGTGATCATGCCTGTACTTTGCATTTCTTCTGCCAACTATGAGTGCTAAATACTATTATTAGAGTTTGTGAGGTCATTTTTTTAAAGCCTGAACACCACTGAATACTAAAGGCTGGTGTGTGGGTGATTAACACATCAAGTGGGCTTCATTTTCATCATGATTTGATGACATATTTCAGAACAGTGTAATACTGTCAAGATCTTGAAAAAATTAACAAATATAAAATTTTGGCAAATGACTGGGATATAGATTAGTGCCACCAGATGTGCACAACACAGTTAAAAATGATTTGTATAAATGTGTGCAGAACAAAGAACATCTAGTATAATGCATTACTATATAATGCATTTATTTGCTCAACAAACATACCTGATAGAATTTGTATTTTGAATTCAAATAAGAGTAATAAAGAAAATTAATAGGACATAAACTTCCATATGTGTCTGTTACTTCTCTAGTGATATGTAATAGAATATTAGAAGAAAACAATTGAGCTCTAAACCATATATTTTAGTGGAGAAAATTTGCAAGCACACTGTTTAATCAACACTACCTTATTATTAACATTTATATTTCCATATTTGACTTTTCAAACTGATAACTTGATTTCTCCTTTGGAAATAGTGAAGGATCTCCCAAAATCATTTCTTATGACCTCAATATTTAGATAATCTATCAAGATAAATAATATGTTGCTTAAGTCTTAATATAAAAAGCTGAATTCATGATGATAAAAATACGATTCTTATTATATATCTAGATAGTCCCAGGTCTTGGATGTAATGTTCATGACTCTACAATGGACAAAATCAGTGTCTGTCATGCAGTATTCATGGCTTGCTCTTTCGTCTTCTGCTAGAGAGTTAGAGTCAATATATTCTGAATAGAAGCCAATATTTTCACACCATACTGTGCTCTACTATAGTCAGCAACTTCACTTGGACAACTTAGTTTTAGGATAATTTCTTGCAGTATAAAGTCATGGTACAAATTTTGTGACTTGGAAATTGTAGAAGCTACTGGCTCACTATAAGAGACTGACTTATTCAAAAGATCTGAAAACCAGTCTTGAGAGGACACTCTTCGAAAGGAGTTCCCTCTGCTCTGCAGCTATATCTGGGTGTATTTCTTGTACACATTGTGTTGCAAATTGTTTAGGGAACAAACAAATGGTTAAGTCTCATAGACTTGAATTTAGGTGTTAGCTAGATCTCTGTGTGGCTTTGGTGAAATTTTTAACCATACCCATGCTACAAGTTTCTTACCTCTAAAGTGAGACTAATTAC